CCTGGGCAGGGGGATTGCGAGGGCGACGCGCCATCCTGGCTGGAGACGTTGAGGTGCCTCGGAAGAGGTGTTGTCAAGACCTTTTCGGGCGGGAGATCAGGGGGAGGGAATATCGGACCTCCGCGTGCAAGAAACATCCCCCATGGAGGGGGGGGAGCTATTATGATGGTTGCATGTCGCATATAGAAGCATAGTGCATTCGGATCAAATTGTGGTAAGTATTATTGTTGATGCTGCTGTTGTTGTTGTTGTTGTTGTTGTTGTTGTTGTTGTTGTTGTTGTTGTTGTTGTTGTTGAACACTATTACTTCTAAAGAATTATTATTGTTGGACCCCCTGGTGCACGCCCCCCGCCCAAAACCTAGGCCGCAGCTACATTTTCATCATTTTTCTGCGAAAGCTTCAGAAAAGTGGATTACCCCCGGATCCGGTTTTTTGTTGACGCTCGTTTTCCCTTGCAAAAAACAATAGAAAATGAAAATTCTTGTTCTTAGTTGATCAAATTTCAAGAATCCCTTGCAAAAAATAAGGTAAAGTGGACATTCGCGCTCGCAAGACGAAATCCTTCCAAAACCTTAGGTTTCGTAGCGATTTTAACATAAAAACATCAAAAACCCAATGGTTTTTTAAGAAAAAATTGTCAAAATGTCCTTCCGCGCGCTCTTGCGGATTCATAGGAAACACACCACTTTTTAAACATTTCTGTCAAAAGGGTCTTTGCGTGCTACTTCTTCAGGTGCTTTGAACTTCTCCAACAACGGTTGCGCGCCTGCGAGGGCCACCATCCCTTGCAAAAAATGAGACGAAGTGCACATGCGCGCGTATCAGCCAGGCCCGCACGTGTATCAGCCAGGCAGCCGGGCACCCACGCGCCCGCTCCGCGCCATCGCAGACGACGATGCGTCGCGCCTTTAGTATGCTTCTGGATGCGAAGACCATTCGGTTGAGTATACCCCTACGTGTGACTGGACCTGTTTGCGAAAGCAGGAGAAAGTATGGCACCCCTTTGTGTCCAGAGCCGCGCCGTCTGCGTTCTTCCTTTCTCGCTTCTCTCCTTTCCTCCTTGTCCTGCTCCTCCTCCCCCTCTTCCGCCTTGGAGCCGTATTGGAACTGTCGATGGCCATCTCCCTTTCTCCCTCGCATGTCTGCTTGTACATACGTATAATTTCAGAACTTACCGTGCATGCGATCGTTTACAACATGGTGGACCGTGCGTATGTCACGAACCTTGTATACATGTGTTTCTCTCCCTCCGTCTGGCTGTGCACGCGCGCGTTGGGCACTGAGAGTTAGGATCATAGCGCCATGAGTCTATGAGCAATGCATGCGTCATCCTTGGGACTGTATAACATCAGTGTAACACATGTACTTCTGTAATCGCATCCCCACGAATTTGCCCCAAAAATGTGACCAACTATCTTGGCACTGCGTACCATCTCACGTGTACCGTGTACCACATCATATGTAACAGATGTGATCAACCTCTGTGGGTGTGTACCCCACGCCAGTGTAGTAGCCAGGGTCGTCCGCACGCCACGAAGTGAAGTGTCCCAACGTCATAGGGCGGGAAGCTGGGTGTGGGTGGTCTCGAAGAGTCGTTTGGATATTTGGTAGAGCTTGAACGGCCCCCCCACGAAGTGGGGGTATTGGCTGGTGTCGCAAGAAAACCCTGGCACTGGGGAGAACACTGAGCGTTCGGGTAAAATGATTGTTGTTGTTGTTGTTGTTGTTGTTGTTGTTGTTGTTGTTGTTGAACATTATTAATTCTAAAGAATAATTATTGTTGGGCCCCCTGGTGCACGCCCCCCCTGCGCCGCCTAGGCCGCAGCTACATTTTCATCATTTTCGTGAGGAAGCCTCAGGTAATTCGATGTGATCAAGATCCGGTTGTTTTGTTCCCCCCCGCTTTCCCTTGCAAAAAACACTATAAAATGACATTTCTTGTTCTAATATAATCAAATTTCAAGAATCCCTTGCAAAAAATAAGGTAAAGTGGACATTCGCGCGCGCAAGACGAAATCCTTCCAAAACCTTAGTGTTCGCAGCGATTTTAACATAAAAACATCAAAAAACCAATGGTTTTTCAACAAAAAAATGTCAAAATCTCATCCCGCGCGCTCTTGCGGATTCGTAGGAAACCCAACACTTTTTAAACATTTCTGTCAAACGGGCTTTTGCGAGCAACTTTTTCGAACTTCTGCGACAACGGTTGCGCACCTGCCAGGGCCATCATCCCTGTCAAATAATACCATGCGGGACACATTCGTTTTTTCTTCGCGCGCGCACGCCGAAATCTCCAAAAACCATTGGGCTTCTTAAGAATTTTAGCACCGCGCATCATAAAATCACACGAATCGCACCGTGGGTTAACAACTTCTGTGGGTTAACAAGGCTTAACAACTTCTGTGGGTGTACGAACGTAGGCTTAACAACTTCTGTGGGTGTGTACTCCACGCCAGTGTAGTAGCCACGGTCGTCCGCAGGCCACGAAGTGAAGTGTCCGAACGTCATAGGGCGGGAAGCTGGGTGTGGGTGGTGGCGAAGAGTCGTGTGGATATTTGGTAGAGCTTGCACTGCCCCCCCACAAAGTGGGGGTATTGGCTGGCGTCGCATGAAAACCCTGGCACTGGTGAGAACACTGAGCGTTCGGGTAAAGTGATTGTTGTTGTTGTTGTTGTTGTTGTTGTTGTTGTTGTTGTTGTTGTTGTTGTTGTTGTTGTTGTTGCTGCTGCTGTTGTTGTTGTTGTTGTTGTTGTTGTAGTTGTTGTTGTTGTTGTTGTTGTCGTCGTCGTCGTCGTCGTCGTCGTTGTTGTTGTTGTTGTTGTTGTTGTTGCTCCTCCTCTGGTTGTTATTACGATTGCACTCTCACTATTGAAGAATCGTTATTGTTGATCCCCGCCCCTGCAGGACACCTGGTATTTCTCCCATTGAAGTGCCTTTCCCGGGGTTCGCACCCGGTTTTTTAAAGGGAAAGTCTTGGGTCTCAGACTTGGGCCCCTGGCCTCCGAGTTACAGCAGCAACGGCTCCTGCCTGAGATTTCGTCACAATTGATTCCCAACTCGTGCTCTCGCGCGGGAGGTCTTCACAATTTGTACAGAACGCGCTCTCGCGTGGGACCTCCTCGCAATTTATTCAGACGCTGCGCCCTCGACATTCACGAATCACGCTCTCGCTTTGGCCTATCTCACGACTGACTTAGGAATCGCGCTATCGTTCGAGATTTCCCCGCGATTCATGCAGGACGCACGCTTCAGCAACCCGCCTGCTCGACCTGGCCGCCTGGGCGCGCCTTCCCGACCCGCCAATCAGAGTTCACCCGCCCGATGTGCCCGTGTGATTCTGCCACGTAGTTTCTGCTCCTGGCCCTCTTCCTGCTACTCGGTCTCTCGTGTTCCATCTTCCTCTCTCCCCCTTGTCCCTCTCTTCCATCGTCCTTTCTTCCACTGCCGTAGGGGCTGCATGAAATACACATTGCAGGTAAGAAAGGTATACCCTTAAGGGGGTACGATCGAAGACGAAGAGGGCGGGTATCCAGGGTTTGGGATACACGTGGTGAATGGCACGCGAGCCGACAAGAGGGAACAGTCTTAAACTGATGGCGGTTATTGTTGTTGCTGTTGCTGTGGTTATTCTTATAGTTATTGTTCTTGATGCTGCTGCTGTTGTTGTTGTTGCTGTTGTTGTTATGTTTGCATTCCTGGAGTCCGATTGTTGTTAATCCCCCCCTGCCCGGAAACCGTTGTATGTTTCAATTGAAGTGCTTCTCCCGGTGCTCGCACCCTTTTTTACAAAGGAACGCGAGGTGCCCCCAAAGTGCGCCGCTGGCCCCCCCCCGTTTACGACAGCAGCGGCTCCCGCCGGATGCTCGTCCACAATGTCTTCTCAAGTCGCGCTCTCGCGCGGGAGGTCTTCACAATCTGTACAGGAATCGCGCTCTCGCTGTGGGACCTCCTCGCAATTTACTCAAACGCCGCGCCCTCGACACTTAGGAGTCACGCTCTCGCTGTGGATTTCCTTGGAACTGAATCGCGCTATCGCTCGAGACATCCTCGCGATTCATGCAGGACGCACGCTTCAGCAACCCGCTTGCTCGACCTGGCCGCCTGGGCCCGCCTTCCCGCCCCGCCCGTTACTACATTGGGTTCTGCCACGTGTTTTCTGCTCCTAGCCCCCTTCCTGCTACTCGGTCTCTCGTGTTCCATCTTCCTCCCTCCCCCTTGTCCCTTTCTTTCATCGTCCTCTCTTCCACTGCCGTAGGGGCTGCATGAAATACACATTGCAGGTAAGAAAGGTATACCCTTAAGGGGGTACGATCGAAGACAAAGAGGGCGGGTATCGAGGGTTTGGGATTCACGTGGTGAATGGCACGCGAGCAGATAAGAGCCAACAGTCTTACACTTATGGTTGATAACGAAGATGATGAGGAGGATGAGGATGATGATTATGATGATGCTGCTGATGATGATGACGATGATGATGATGCTAACTGTGGTTCTGGTGGCGGTGATGATAGGGATGATGATGAGGAGGACGAGGAGGCTGAGAGGGCAAGGGGGGCACCTCTGCCGTGGGGCTCCCGTCGCCAAGGTCTGGAGCACTAACCACACCCTCGCGGAGAAGACCCTGTGCTTGTGGGAGCCCACAGGTCTCGAGGCCACCTGCAGGCTGGGCGTTGGGCTCGCCCGCAGGCTCAACTTCGGCCACGTGGGCACCAGGTCCGAGTCGGAGCCCGTCAACTACAACATACTCGAGGTGATCGACCAGGAGGGGCGATGCAGGGCAGCGCTTGATGCGAGGGTTAGGGATCGTTCGATGCGGTAGGAGCAAGGGCACATTCGAGGGATCAGCAAGGGCGAGATAGCACACACGGATGAGAGCGGCGATGCGGCATCTAGGGCAGACGCTATCTTGGCCGCCGTGCCAGTACTTCAGCCGATGTCGTAGAGGCGGTGCTTCTGGCTACGATCCTGCTTCCTCGCTGCTCGCAGGAACGCGGGTTGATGGTCAGCACCGACGAGAGGGACCTGGACCTCTTCATCTCGATCTTCTTCCCCCACCCGGTGCGATTCCGCAAGGAGTGGAGCCAGGTGAACACGCGCGCGGGAGCCACCACCTCGCCCCTGTACGTCTGGAAGCCGGTGGCCGTCCCTCCTCTCCGCCCCGCTCCTCTGCCGTCCGTTCCCCGTGCTGCTGCTGCTCCTCAGCCCTCTCTCGGCGTCGTCGCCGCTGGTGCTCTTGGGGGCCCTCGGGGCCTCCCGACACGTCGGCCGCGCGCGTCGCGTGGTCCTCCCGTCCTCTCCTGCCTCTGCGGCCGCTCTCTCTTGCCCCTTCGCCTCGCTCCTGCACGGGCCTCCGTCCGCGTGCGTGCACCTCGCGTCCGCTTCATCGACTCGGACCGTGTCCACGTGCACTGACCAAGCAGTTTTTTTTTTCCTGAATGGTTTTTTCTAACAGAATCTGGTAAAACAGAAAAAACAGCTTTTTTCCTGGAGGGTTTCCTTGGAAGTCGCCGGGGCCACACTCGAGCCATCTTGGGGCCGCCCTGGGGCGTCGCAGCGCCATGGTGCAAGACATCTGGTCCAGCCCGCCGCGTGTTGGCGCCATCTTGACGCACACCTCGGGCTCATCTGGGGCCACCCTGGGAGCCGTCTGGGGCCACCTTGGATGTTCTGACGACCCGCGCCAGGGCCACAGGTGGATGGGCCCAGGGGAGCTCCAAGATGGCCCCGATAGGGGGCCCTTGAGAGCACCCACGAGAGCCACAAGATGGTCCCGAGAGCCCCCCCCCCAAAGCCTTCGAATTCGAGACTTGCCCCATCAACAAATTTCCGTCCATGCATCCTGTCGGCTATACTACCATGCCGCCCAGCTGGCTGTCCAGTCAGGCTTCTGCCGTGCTGCGGCCGTCGCCGCGCAGGGAGCAGCTACCGTGGTTCGGCTGATGCTGATGTCTGCGAAACCGGCCTCGGCGGCTGTCGAGAAGGTCAACTTATTTTGTCCTTGTTGGGGCCCCGACCTTGCGGGCCGACTGTATCACGGTCTCGCTGCTCTCTTGGAGGCTGAAGGCCAGCGGCTAAAAACGGAGGGGTACTCGATTTGTAGGGTCGACCCCCCCCCCACCCTGCTGACCCGGTTAGCTGGCACGAGACCACAACCATTGGGGATAAAGAGAAGCGGCATCGTCCCAACAGACACCCACCACCATCTCGCCCACGAGCTCAACCACGGCAAACACAGAGGTATCCCAGGGTCGGTGTGTTGCCCCAGTGATGGGGAGCATCCCACCATGCGTCGTAATCCAGCCACAGGAAAGACGTGAGACTCCGCGGCCAACCGCCGGAACATCACAAAGCGTGCTGGGCATGCATTGTCAAGGAAGATCAACACAAGGTAAAACAGTACAAGGTAAATTCAGTGCTGCCCGGGACTAGCTGCCCGAGCTCACCTCTGGCGCCGCTTGGACTTAGCCTGCGGCGTCCCGCGATGGGATTCGTCATGGCACAGTTGGCAACGCCCTCCCGCTTTACTGCCACCTTTCGAGAAGTAGCGGATGCAGAATACCTCGCAGGGGCAGGCAGGCATGTCGGTGTCGGGCAGGGCGGTGGACGAGCAGGCCTCGGAAGGCTTCGCAGCGGAAGGCTGGGAAGCTGAACCGGCAACTGGGCCTCCTGAGCTAGACACGGCTGCGCCTGCAATAGGGCTCTCGTCCAGGGAGTCCAAGGCCTCCGCCTCGTCCACGGACTCGTCCTCCTCCTCCTCCTCCTCCTCCTCGGCCCTGCCGTACCATCGATCAATATCTGCCATGACCGATTCCGCCTCGAAGATGTCGTGCTCGCGCTCCGCGGCGAAATCCACCTGGGGCCACGGCTGGAAATGCGTCCAGTGTTCCGGCCTGTACCCGTAGAGCTCATCCATGTCGAAAGCAGCAAGAGTCTCGGGCGTGGGGCCATAGTCGAACCAGACGACGTTGACGGGATCCAAGGCGATGGCCTCGGGCTCGTAGTCATCGTCCTTGGGGTGAGTACGTGAATCATCATGGCGGACCTCGACCGCGACCCTGCCGTTAGGCGCGTGGCCGGCCACCCACCCAAGCCGCCCATTGAGGGTCCAGCCTCTCTGGCTCGTGAGCCCGACTATTTCCACGAACTCGCCAATCAGCCTCCCGCATTCAAGGCGAGCCCTCCCGTTCATATCACCACCGATCAGGCCGTCGCTGCCGACAAAATGCGAGAAAGACTGACAGACTGCATACGGCAGAGTGCCAATCCCCATCAATGCATGAATGAGGTGATTGTGCTGAGAATGCGTCAGGCGCGTAACACAGAAGAAAATCCAATCCCCGATGAGGCGTAAAGCCGTTGTGAGAGATGCCGTGAAGGCGATCGCTAACATGACGGTGCACGTCGGAGCGCATTCAGCAGCAAGTGCGGCGGGAGCCCGCCTCACCACCAGCACGTCCGTCACCTTGCGAAGCTCTCGCGGACGTACTGGGTCAGCCGCGCGATGGTGACCCCCACAGCGAGCTGGTGGCGCGAGTCAGCTGCGCGATGGTCGACCCCCCCCCATCTCCTCCCCTTCTGGAGCCCGACACATCGTCTTTCGAGGCCCTGTTGGGGCTCTCCTGGTGGCCCTCTTCTCTTGGAGCCCCTTCAGGGTTCCTCTCTGAACCCTGTTGTGCCGGTCTGGGGCCATCTGTCGGCTCCAGAGGCACGTCGGAAACGAACAGGTGAGACGGCGAGCATCATATGATAGCAGAACTGGAGGTTAACTTTAGGTTGCCTGCAGTTTTCTGCAAGGTTGGACACTCTGACGCCTTGTGGCCTACCTGTCCAGAACTTTGGCCACGAGGTAGGGGAGGGGCGGACCCCTACCCGAAAGGGAGCACGAGGTTGTTTTGGAAGAGCTGATGCTCTAAGTCACCTACACCCATCGGGCTGCTGATTTTACCTGTGTGTGTGTGTGCTACGATTGCGACGTTGGGTCCTCTATCGGTATCTTCCTAAGTGGATGCGACGACTGCAAGTATGACCTCTAGGACACGCGCCAGATGTTCCGATTATGTTCGCGTAAATGCTGTGGTCGAGTGGCCCCACTGTTCGTTCTCGCTCCCCCTGCCGTGCATGCTGCTTATCATCTTGCCCCTAGCCTTCAACGCAACGCTTCTAACATCACTCTGCGCTCGTTCTCTATATGGCCGTCCTGTTGGGGCGCTTCTCTCGCTTTCCTTCGCGGTCTTGGGATCCCGGATGATTGCCGCTCTGCAGGGGCTGCAGTCGGGACCACCACCCATGCAGTCGGTGTCGTTCCTCCTCCTCCTCCTCCTCCTCCTCCTCCTCTTCCTCCTCCTCCTCCTCCTCCTCCTCCTCCTCTCCCTCTTCATCCGCCTCATCTGCTTTCTGCTGCTTGAGCTCCGCGTCGTCGGTTGCGCCCAGCGATGACTACGTGACCCTTGGGGTGGTTGCCACCACGGACGGGCTGGAGCCGCCCCTCAGCTCGATGCGCTGCGTCCCGAGGTACTGGTGCAACTCCATACCGCAGGAGAAGGCCCCGGGGCCCGAGCCTGGGCTTGATGGGCCTGTCTTCCACCACCACCACCACCATAATTTGGAGGGGGGAGGAGGTGGAGGGCGAGGAGGAGGAAGAAGAGGGGGAGGAGGACCCCCTCCCCCCTCCAACTCACGGTGGTGGTGGTGGTGGTGGAAACAGGCCCATCATGGGCTCGCCCACTTCCGCTTTCCCTGACGTCCTTTCGCCGTGGCAGAAGTCTCGCCCCGCCGCGAGCCCCAGGGCCCACGCGAGTCGATCCGGCTCCAGAGCTCTCGCAACAGGATGGGGTTCAGAGACCCAGTCGTGTTCTTCACGGCGCGACTCTTTCACGACGCTGGATGCTGGGGTTCGTGCGGTCTCGGCCCGGCGGCAGCACGTGGCGCTGGCGTTCAAGATCGAAGGACCCTCGTCGGCCTCTGGGCCCCTGAGGACCCAGACTGCGCATGTTGTTCAATATTTAAGAACTCGCGCGGTGACAGAGGCCAGAGCACACACTTTCATGACATGCGCCTGCCGCGCTTTGGCGTCCCGTGCTCCCGTCTTCCCCTGCCAGCTTCGCCCTTCCTCGCTCATCCTCCCTCTTCCCCTCGCTCCTCCTCGCCCTACTTCCTCTGCTCCTCCCTCCGCCCTTCTCACCCTCCTCTCCCCCTGTCCCTCCCTCCTCCTCACCTTCTCCCTTCCTTCTCCCAGTCGGGCACGCCCGCTCCTCCTCTCCTCAGCCTCGCCCTGCGCAGCGGGGACGACAGCAGGACCCCCCCCCTGCAGAACACAGCAGACAGGCCGGACACCGCGAGGTCGGTCGGCGCCCCCTGGGGGTGGCCGCCGATCGCGCAGGCGGCCCCGCAGGCTCTCGAGGGCCGCGCTCGGCGGCCAGGGCCCCCGCGCTCTGGCAGCCCACCGGGCCTGGGCCGTGCCCCGCGGGCGGGCGCGAGCGGCGGTCCTCGGCCCCCCCCCCGGCGGCAGGTCTCGCGGCTGTGGAGCAACGCTGGCCTCGGGGGCGCGGAGGCCTGCCTGTACTCCAGCGCCAGGGACTGGCCCTCCCAGTTCGAGGCCCGGGGGCGGGGGCGAGCGGCGCAGGGGAGCACCGCGGGAGCCCTGGGCGGCCCTGGGCGGCCCTCGGCGGGCCTGCGGCGGGCCTGCGGCGGGCCTGCGGCGGGCCTCAGCCTTCGGCGGCCCTCGGCGGCGCTCGGCGGCGCTCGGCGCCGACGCGGGGAGATGCACCCACCTGCCGCTGCGGCTGCTGGCCCCTGCTGGGCCGCTGCCGCTCCTTTCCCGATGTCTTCGATCGTGTGTGTGTGTGTGTGTGTGTGTGTGTGTGTGGTTGTGTGGTTGTGTGGTTGTGTGGTTGTGTGGTTGTGTGGTTGTGTGGTTGTGTGGTTGTGTGGTTGTGTGTGTGTGTGTGTGTGTGTGTGCGTGCGTGCGTGCGTGCGTGCGTGCGTGCGTGCGTGCGTGC